CTCTCTCTCTCTCTCTCTCTCTCTCTCTCTCTCTCTCTCTCTCTCTCTCTCTCTCTCACACATGAGAATGAATCTTCCTCTTTATCGAGGAAGATTCGTTCTCATTGGGCATGTATGATTTTGGCTGTTTATTTTTTGTTTTTTTTTTTGCAGAAAGTTGTGTTTTTTTTGTCTTTTTTTTCCGTGATGTACTACCGGTTGTACGAGGCTCGGCAATAAAGTCCGAGGCTCGGGAATGATTGGGCTACCGGTAGTCCGAGCCTCGGACTTGATAGCTGGGCGGGGTACTGGTGCAGGACCCTGACTTATGCCACATCAGGAACCTGGTTTACTGTCTAATGACTCTAATCCTGTCTTCAAAGGACCGAACCCAGGGCCCTGCTGTGGTTTAAACCGCGAGTACACGGCCCCAGCCTTGCAGAAAGATTTTGTCGCCACAAGCAAAACTCGGCGGCGCCGCGCGGCCAGGCCCCCCTTCGAAAAATATAATCAGCGGCCTCCAAAGTTGTGCGGGTTTCATGCTGACACCCACGAGCCGATATGTGGTGTACTGGTGCTTTAAGACAGGAACACACAGTGGTCTAAACTTGACCGGAGCCTCTTTTTTTTTTTTTTTTTTTTTTTTTTTGATAAATCTAGGCTCCATTCTATTGGAGCCTCTTTTTCTGCACCTGCGCTGGTGGCCAATCTTTAAAAAAATCAGAGGCCTGTCAGGCAAGAGGCCCGTAGATGAGTCAGATCCAGATTCAAACACCCGTCCGTTGTTGAACAACAACTCTACCGGCCCACTGCACGGACCTGATAGCAGCCTACCATGAACCAGGCCACAGAAGGAAAGGGGCCCCTCCATATAAGTCCAAAGGCTTAACTACACTCCCAAATCCTCTACTTTTGTGTCGAGGGAAAAAAAGAGAAAAAATACGAATTACATTTATGCATAAGAAGAAGTTCTTTTGAATCTTTTCTGAGAAAATAATTTTCTTAAAAAAAAATAAAATAATAATAATAATAATAATAATAATAATAATTTTCTCCCTGTTTGACCCCAAATCTTCTCCTACCACCAGAAATAAGGCATTGGTGTGTTGGCAGCAGGGCTCCCAGAGTTGGGATCTCAGAAATCTTGAGGTTGGCGGCAAGTTGAAAGAGAGGAGATCACTGACGGGCCTAGCTCAGTCGGTACACCCCCACCCATGGCCTATCGAAATACAGACCCGAGAATAACAATTAACTAGGAATAGGAATGGTCTGTTCAATGATTATATCTCCAGGCCGTCGCCCTTTCCAAAGGTACAAAAGAAAAACGAAAAGAAAGAAAGAAGAGGAGATCGAGGTGGAGGAGAGATCATTCTTTGGCCCCGCCATAAACTGAGCCTTCTTGGCGGTACCAAAGGATCATCTCTCCTCCACCTCAATCCCCTCTCCTTTCTTCTTCTTTTTCTTTTTCTTCTTCTTCTTCTTCTTCTTCTTCGTCTTCGTCTTCTTCTTCTTATTCTTATTCTTATTCTTCTTCTTCTTATTATTATTGTTATTGTTATTGTTATTGTTATGCTGTTATTCTTATTCTTCCTCGTTCATCGTCCGCCGCCTCACTTCGTCAGTGTATGCTGCGCAGGGGGGCATCTTCCATGTATGGACCTCTCTCCCTGCCCGGTATCAGCTCAGATCCATGACGTATTGTCAGTCTGTCGCATGATCAAGTCAGTCCCTGTAGGACGTGACGTTGTCTCTCCACCCACATTCGTGATTATCGGATTCGCACACGGGCATGCATCTCTCTCTCTCTCTCTCTCTCTCTCTCTCTCTCTCTCTCTCTCTCTCTCTCTCTCTCTCTCTCTCTCTCTCTCACACACACACACACA